CAAATCACCAGGCTGTGGAACTTCTTGATGAGGAAGACCATGTATAGGTTCACCAAATTTGTTTCATAGAATTATTGGTTGTAAACATTGATACTTCTTCATTTTTATCCCTTATTACTTCATTATTTTTGCTTTCCACCTTTTTCTCCTTGTTGCTCATCCTAAATTAATTGCAAATAATGAATTTAATTTGATTTATTAGATTATTTTCCTATTAATTTCTTCCTTTCTATGAAAATATGGATGAAATTCTTTGCATACTAATGTGCTGTTATGTTTATTTATTTTGTTCATAGTAAGAGGTGGCACTTAACTATGAAACATGAGATTTGTTTCCTTGCGGGCGTGTATAATTGTTGAGGAATGAGGATAAGCCGGTCGATAAGGTCTTGAAATTAGGAACATAGTATATTTTTATTTATTAAATTTCGGACGTAAATACGGGAAGTTGAATTTGCTAGGAAATAGATGGTTGTATGTGTGCGGTGTGCCCTTTAGCTCTTATTTAATCAGCGAACATGAGAAATGAAACTTTATGGAAAATTTTAAATTTCACAAATTGAAAATTCTTGCAAGTGAAAGTTATATTTCTATATAAAGTAAAACTTTTCATAAAATTAGACATTTCTACATTCAAATATCTAACCAAACAAATCTTAACTTCTGTAAAGATAATTTGACACAGGCATTCGGAGCTTCGATCTTAAAAAAATACTTGCAAGTCCTACATTAACCAAATAACCAGTGAACCATCAAACAAAAAGATGGAATCAAATTCAAAGTTTGTTTATAAAAATTAAAAATAGGTTAACTAATGAAATTGAATCTCATATTACTAGGCTTAATACAACGACTAGGAGAATATATATGAACTTCCCTAAGAGAATAATAATAAAAAAAAATATAAATAACTAATTATGGTCAAATATTTAAGTTGTGCATTGTGAAATGTAATGGACGAAACAAGTCAACTTATAAAGAATGGAGGAAATACATGATACTAATGATTTCATTGCATTCTTCAGTCTCATATGAAATACGAAGTATTTCATGTGTTTTAGGGATATTAAACACTCCTTATGGGCTTAGCCTTACTTTGGCTAGCTAGATCGGCCCAAATGTAGTTCATTATATATGGGCTATTGAGCCAATTAGTCTACTATGGACCCTGGTGCAGCTACAATAGCTGGACCAGGCCCAACACGCTTGAAAACAGCCCACATGATTACATCAGATACTAACCCACGTACTTGATTTACCCAAAAAACTGCAACATTTCACCTCAAGGCAACATATCCCTTCTCTTTCATCTCTCTATTTTTTCTCTCAATAAAAACTAAAATCAACCATGGAAGCTCATGCTCAACAAGATTCTCCGGAAAAAAAAGGTAATTTGTGTAAACAACACTTAAATTCGTTTAAATTTCGTACAAAGTACGTAAATTTATGCAAATTTCTTAAGTTTCTTACAAATACAATTAAATTTAAGAGTTATGATTTGAGTTAAGAGTAGTAATTTGTCTACCTTCACTGAAATTTATAGAGACTCGACAAATTATTCTACATGTAGTGATGATGATGAATTGTTGAAGCTAATCTGATCGATTTCAAGGAGTGTAGTGGTATATTGCGATTGTTCAGATGTTTTTACTAAATGTTCAAAATTTGCAATGTTCGGATTTTTTTTACTAAATGTTCAAAATTTGCAATTGTTCAGATTTTTTTTACTAAATGTTCAAAATTTGCAATTGTTCAGATTTTTTTACTAAATGTTCAAAAGTAAAGGCGTGATACATTGCGATTGTTCATATATTTTTACTAAATGTTCAAAATTTTCGATGTTCGGATTTTTTACTAAATGTTCAAAATTTGCAATCGTTCAAGTTTTTTTACTAAATGTTCAAAAGTTTAAATGTGGTACATTGTGATGTAGTATTTTTACTAAATGTTCAAAATTGTCGATGTTCAGCTCGGATCTTTTTTACTAAATGTTCAAAATTTGCAATAGTTGATTTTTTTTATTTACTTAATGTTCAAATGCATAGGCGTGGTACATTGCGATTGTTCATATATTTTTACTAAATGTTCTAAATTTTCGATGTTTAGTTCGGATCTTTTTTACTAAATGTTCAAAATTTGCAATAGTTGATTTTTTTTTATTTACTTAATGTTCAAATGCATAGGCGTGGTACATTGCGATTGTATAGATATTTTTAATAAATATTCAAAAATTTCAATGTTCAGTTCGGATTTTATTTACTAAATGTTCAAAATTCGCAATTGTTCAGAATTTTTTACTAAATGTTCAAAATTCGCAATTGTTCAGAATTTTTTACTAAATGTTCAAAATTTGTGACGTTCGAATTTTTTACTAAATTAATCGATCAAATTAATAAGAACAATAAAAAATATCAATTAATCAATCATAATGAATTATGAATTAAAATCGATCATAATGAATTACGAATTGAAATCGATCAGATTAGTTTTAACAATTCAATAAATATTAAAACAATAACTTCATCCACAAATTCATCCCAAAATAAAAAATAAATTAATATTGGTCACAATGAATTTATAATAATTAACTAACCTGGATTAATCTCTTCAAAAATATCAACAATTTCCATCACGTTAAATGCAAAAGTCAATGGAAAAAAAATTACAGAGGAGAGAGAAAAATAAGAATTTGAAAAAAAAGAATGAATTAAAATCGAGAAAGAAATAAAAAGAGATTAGGAAAAGAAGAAGAAGAAGAAGAAGAAGAAGATAGAGAGATTCTGCAAAGAGGGAAACAAAATATTAACAAAAAATAAAAGTAAAGATGGCAAGTAGAAGAAGGAAGAAGAAGAAGTGAAGAGAAATTCTACTTTTTATCTGTATATATGGGTGCAATACATTTCATTTTCTTCCCAACAACCAATAGCATTCTATTACGCTCACTGAACCGTTTGCATGTGTTGTCGTGCTCATGCCTGAATAAATACGCTATTGAATTAAGAACGATAACCCTGGTGTGCCTACATCCTTCAAGAGAATTCAACACCATCAACTCCACTTGGTTCAACACCAAAAATATTTGGTCAGCCACCTTTATTTTTTTAACATGCACCAAACTAAGTGGATTTTCACCTGCCAACTTATTACGCAATATATGTAAACTCACTTGGTTGAGTCTTTCAGCCGGGAACACCGGACAAGCTTGTATGTATATTGATGACCCATACAACCCTCCATCTTTCGGCTCTAACAAGCATGTAAGCAAAATCTGCAAGCATGTTTGGGTCTTACCTACCCCACTATCTCCAAATATTTCAGTCACCTCTCCAATTTGTATGCCGCCATCAAAAATCAAATCAATTGGATTGCAAATGCTGATACATTTTTGGTTCATTGTAATTCCAATATCTATAACCCTTTGGCAATGGAGATATATAGGATTACTATTTGTATTCGGTATTGGTGGAGTTTTTTGGATTACATTATCCGTGCAAATAGGATAACGATGTTAAAATGTTATGGGCCCAAACCCATTATAATAACAAGAGAATCGTGTTGACTGAATGTTGTTGACCTGATTTGGCGGGAAGTTGTGGCGAATAAAAATCTTGGTAAATGGAACTAAGTACTTGTTCCATAGACACTTTTCATATGGGAGAGATAAACCAACCCAAATTGCTTTAGTTCAACCACCACCATACACGCGCTCATGGATTTACACGAAATACCAGATTTAGAGGAAATACCAGTCCCGGTAAGGAGTATTAAGAGTGTAGATTCAAAAACACCAATAGCCTTATACGCAAATAGCAAATTATTTGTATGCAACACAAACCAACCACTTCCATTGCTGATTAAACACACCGAAACACTAGCCCTTTAGAGAAGGCTTCCGCAGCCAATTGGCGGAGACACTTTAATGGAAGAGGTTTCTTGGGGGAGATCAAGTCTTTACTGATCAGTGATGGTGAAACCGTTCCAACACAACTATTATCAGCTCGCAATGTGGCAACTACAATAGCCACCGGTGGTCAGTTCAAGGGTGACCTTGTTGTAATACGCAAGGGGAATAAGGTTTCTCCTGCGCATATTCCTGATCTGTCGGACCTAGCTACGCTACCAATGCCTATCAAAATCGCAATACGAAGTATCCTGCTGGAAGAAGGTGGTACTAAGGGAGATGGATACGAGCATGTCATTCCAAAGTCAATTAAACATATAATAAACCCATGTTCGGTGTTACCACGCATAAGGGAAAGTTGTGTACTGAGGGAAGGAGAACATGTTATGCATACAAACAGTGACCCCAACGACATCAAGATAATAAGTGTGGGTGGTGATTTCTTGTGGAAGAAGTTGTCGCTTCTTTCAAGATGGACAAGTAAGAACCCCTTAGATGGACGAAAGATTACCACTAAATTTGAAGTTACTTTAAAATACAAGAGCAACAACAACAGCGTCGTTTAGAATAGTTACATGGAATTGCCGAGACATGGCACGAAAGACATTTTCACAGAATTTACAGCATGTAATTTCACTTCACTACCCACACATTCTGATTCTTACCGAGACCAGGGTTTCAATTAACTCGGGTTATCAAGGGGAGATCTCGGTGTGGAGTTATAGGTGGTTATGCTGTTATCATCTTTAGTAGGAATATTGGTATTCACCTACAGCAGCAAGATGACATGGGATCAACATGGGTTATCAGCAAAATTAATTGATGTTTTGTTTGCGGTTTTAGTTTGTATTAAAAATTGATGTATGGCCAACAAAGGCCCAATTGCACAACCACCAAATTGATGTTTTGTTTGTGGTTATTCAGTTTCAAATGGTTGCACTAGATTTAAGGTGAAGTTGTGGGCCACTTTAGTTCTCCTTTTTTGGGCTAACAATGTGTCGTTTTCTTTAAATTATAATATATGGCCAACAAAGGCCCAATTAATATTTTATAGTTCATTTGCCCATTCCAAATGACTCTTTGCATTCATTTATGAATATAATACACAATGAATAAAATTACATTTAAAGCAACTATATAACATGGAATTGTAATTGAAAAAAATTACACACGGAATTGTAAAGAATGCAAGAATACATGGACAAGGTCCTATGGAATTGTAATGAATACAAGATTACAAGGGCAAGTAGGAAAACTGTTACAATTGTTGTTACAACTCAAACAGGAATTCATAAAATTCACCAAGTCCTTTGATGCGAAAACAAACAGACACACTAGGAAAACTGGATAACACAGACGACTTATTTGAACACTTATTCAACTTCACTCACTTCAACCGCTTATAGTCAGATCGAGTTGTAGAACGACCCCTCCTTTTCTTTGAGTTAAACCCAACATCTGCTTGTGGAACATCCTGTATTTACACACAAACAATTGGTTACTATTTAATCACCCACAAACAACTGAATATTCGATATTTAACCCATAAATAGAGACTCACGATGACTATTCGATGGTCTGAAGGGACTTCTGTATCCCTGGCTTCCCTAGGATGTCTTTCACCATACGCAACATCCAACGACTACACACACATATTACATACAAACTGCCCCAGTCATTACTAATATATCATAATATATCAAAATATCATATTACATACAAACAACACATAACTAGGCCATGGGGGTTACATAATAGTTACCCCTAGTTTGCCAAAGTCACCGGTACATAACTTGTCCAACTTTGACGCTATGCCAATCTGCTGCATGTCCCATACCTTAATCTTGGGAAATGCATCCCATTGTACAGGATCTCTATCCAATCGGTCCAAATAAAATATCTGCACATAATGGGAAATAAATTAACGTTTTCCAAAAAAAAAGATGATTTACCTATAAAGAAAGAATACAAGGCTAAAACACCTACAACAGCTAAAATTGTACAACCACCACATCCTCCTGCAAACCCATTTGCATAAAACCTTCGCGCAAAACTACTAACACTATCCATGAATTTTGAAAGAACCAAACCACACCAGCCATATTCAACAGCATCCATTGCACAACTTAGTGAAGGTAAAAGATTAGCCGCAAGTCTAGGAGATTGTGTGGGACATAATACCATCTCCAAGGCCACAATCAAGAACAGAGTTTTAAACTCTTCTTCCTGTGATTCCTCAAAATATCCTTCCAAACGATCCAACATTGCAGCTGTAACAGGTATCCCTACAGAGGTGTACACTGTACCACTGCGGGGTTTGCTAGACTTAGATTCTCATGACTTCCCATAACGCAAAAGTATTTTCTGCACTTTCAATCTGCCCTCTTCAGTCATAGTTTTGGTGGATGGCACAGATCTAGCACCATTTGGGATCCCTAACACCCACCTAACTTGGTTCTTTGAGAACTTAAACTCAACACCGCTGGGGGTTATCATTTTACCACTTAACGGGTCAATCCAGGTCATTACCCAATAAGCCAGTTGTCTGGGTAAATGAATACCAAAAGACATGTGTAACAGACCACAAAAACCCATTTCAGTAACCCACCGTTTTCTTCTCTCATCAAATTTTTGATATATTCGTCCAAATGACTCTATTCGGCAGTTCATGTTAGGGGGCTGCATAGACAGGGAATAACACATTTCAGCATACAAATTATAACCTATTAAAAAATAAATCAAGGCACCTGTGATCATCAACCATTCACTTACTCTACTACAAGCCTTCCTATGCAAAGCATTAACCTCTGATCTACCTTTAGCACATCCACCAACACTTGAACTATTGTCCTTAAACAGTTCAGGGTACAAATTAATTGTCTTACGCATCGAGACTTCAGTCACTTGCTGCATATATTAGCCGGGAAAACAAACATTAAACAACAAACCATACAAGGAGAACCATAACAAAGGACAACCATAAACCATACCTTGTTCTTCATCACACCATTGCTCTCACCATCATCACATACCTACACCACATAAATAATTTCACAACTAAACCTTGCATTAACTTTATAATTTAACCAGCAAAAACGGGGACCTTCACTGACCTTGGCTTCAATAGAGACATTACCATTTGACATCTTCAGAACGCTGATTCAGTCGTCAAATATTTTCATTACGAACAAAACATTCTCTTATTAATACAATTACCAGCTTAAGTTGAATAATTTATCCACCAAAAACACAAAAATAGACAGTTATTTTCAGCTTATTCAATCCTCCATAAAACTCATACCAATTATATTTTTACAAAATCAAATATCTTATTAACACAATTAACAACTAAAATTGAATAATTTATCCACCGAAAACTCGATAATAAACAGTTACTTCAAAATCAAATATTCAATCCTCCATAAAACTCATACCAAAATCAAATATTCACAAAATCATATCAATTTCAAAGCATTCATACCCAAATCCGAATCCATAGATAATACAAACTCAATCACTCAAATTCAAAATTCACTGCATAATCAAATAGCAAACACAATCGACGGGTAGCTCACCTTTCACAAAGATCACTTCGAATCGATAATAGATATACACCTTCTATATTTCGTCGCCGCGTACCTCCGTCGTATTGCTTGCCTCCGTTCAATTAAAGCACTCCCAAAGGGTAAAAAAACATCAAGAAGAGTAAAATAAACAGTTACATAACGACAGCCTAACTTTAGGGTTTCTTCCGTTATCTTATTAAGAAAACGCCAGCCTAACGGCTGTCAAATGCCAAGTGGACCATATTTGGACTCTTCACGTTGAAATTCCCATTTCGCCCTCTTGAGAAACAAAAGTTGTTTCACAAGAAGAACAACTTGGGTTTACCCCATAATATGTCATCTAATAACACGAAGGAGGTACAATAAATCTCACATTACTCTATCTTTCTCCTCATTAAGTAAACATACTCACATCCCGTCAAAAAAAAAAAAAAAAAAAAAGTAAACATACTCACATAGGTATGTAGAATTCCCACTTTTACTTTTCTTTGATTTTCGTTGCTAAACTAAATCGACCACGTTAAAATGGACAATAAGCTCGAACTTATGACAACAAAGTCACAATGTGAATTCAACATTAACATCTCCATCAAGCATGCATGCTTGGTTTAGAATGCCTTAATCGGTTACTTTATTATGACTAGTCGTTGGAGCACGCGCGTTGCGCGTGCCCCCCCGATGGCAAGATAAGTAAATTCGTGGTTGTGTTCGGTTGTTGTGATATTCGTGGTTGTGTTCGGGTTTTGTAATAGCAAGGATACATGAATTTATAAGTGTCTATGGGGAAATATGTATGAAAAACAATTGTTATAAGTGAAGTTATCTAGAATTTGCTATAATTTAAAGATTCTTAAAAAAATATATTACTCCCTCCGTCCTTTAATACAATGCATCTTTTGAGCATTTATTCCTCACATAATAATAAAGAGAAAGATGTTGATTTTTTGTTTAAAATGTAGTATTAACTAATCAATTTGAATTTCTACATAAAGCATCTCAATACCTTGTAAATCTTAAAACTTAGTTGATTTTAAATCAAATAGGTATACAAAGATATAATTTCTACTAACTACTACAATCAACTTGAATTTCTACGCAAACTATCTCATTATACCTTATAAATTTGTGTTTATTTTTTTTTTTTCTTTTGTATTAAATGTATTATTAATCAACTTGATATTAACCTCTTTTTCTCAAAATAAATAAATTAAAAAAAAAAAAAAAAAAAGCACCAACTTGATACCTAGCCTCAAGAACAAAGATATAATTTCTCTACTAAAATCACAATACACATATTGAAGTTGAAAACAAGTACACATTATGCTCATATATTCACTTATATGCTCTTGCATTACTTCATCATTTACGTATCTAATTCATCCCATTTCTACCATTTAAAAATATAAATTAAATACTACTTATACTACAAATGAAATTAAATCCCATAACCTCAACCTATAACACTATCACCATCTCACACATGCTTCATCTGGTTGTATCCTTGTCTTCTTGGCGCCTTTAAGCACGTGCTCCACTGCTACAAGTAACATCTTGGCCCTAATATTTCAGGCTTGCTCACTTCATCCCAAAATTATCTGCATAAAACAGTAGAATAAAAAATAGAGCTAATCACATATGATAACACGATAAACAATTAGCTTGTATTTTACGTGAAGTTCATATATATACCTAAAGTTCATACAAAAGAAACCTACAAGTAGTTTCCTCTTCTGAACGAGGAGCATTCTGAATGTCACCCATATTAAGAGATATTTGTAACCACCAAATAATTAACCTGCAGATATATCAGTTACATAGATAAGCAAACAAAAAAGAACAAATGTATTAACTTGCCGACAAATATTTAAGATATCTAAATGATGATGAAGGCATATGCAAAAGCTGATACTTTAAATTCAAGATACTTAATTCTATTATTCTAGCTGCCTTTAACAGCTTATACACTTAATCTGCGATAGATCTATGAGGAAAAACATGGTCTAGACTTATATCCACAAGGCACAATATAAATATATAATGCGAAAAAAAAAGAAAAAAAAAACACTAAGCTGCATACACGTCCGATCAGAAATCAAATATAAGAAATCTCACAATAAGCATTCCATAGAAAATTGTGGGTCTTCCCATGAGAGCCTTTACGAGCAGCCATTAACCAAAAATGCTTAATATATATAAGCAATAACCAAGTTCATTGTCTATCATGTTTGACGAAAAGAATAATGTGTTGCCAATTTCTCTAATCTAAATATAAATGTACTGTATAAGGCAAAGCATCATAAGAAGATGAGAGGTTTTACCAAAGCAGTATATATTAAGAAATAAACCCAAAAACAATTCATAGAACCCACTATTCATTCAGCACCATAATTCTGGAATGCCAATGATGCCTTCATCCCAAGCCTACTCAAGAACAAGGCATACAGGATGTGCAGAAGAAACACGAAGAAGCAACAATTTAGTGAGCTGCTAGAAAAAGAGAGTGTAAGCTTGCTGGCTACATTATACAAAATAAAGAATTGATTTTTTTTTTCTCTATTTATAATAACAAAGCCTAAATGTTCAGAAATTTGTAGGTCAACAAAATCTTTCTTTAAAGATTAATAAGGATAGTTATAAAATACAGTTAAATTCATACAAGCACAACAAAGAAAAAAAAAAACCCTGCAAAAATCCATAAAAGCAAGAAGTCACTCACAGATACTTATTATGAGGTTCGGAGCTCCAAAAGCATTTGAGCACAGTGATTGAGAACTTCTCTGAGATTGTCTTCCTCTCGATCTTCTCTTCTTTTCCCCCTGGAACTCAACAAAGCAGAGCGAGCGAGTGAGAACTACAGTAACTTTAGAGTTACTACAACTCAGTTGTTGTATCAGGGCTAGCTGACAGATTCGAGGGGTACATTATTGCTCACAGATCATCAAGATTTTATACAAGAAGACCTGTATAAAAACACACAAAACAAGTATGAATAGCAGAAACATTGATGTAGATAGTTGCAACTGAAGTATAAGTGAGCAATCTAAATAATCAAAGAAACAGGAAGAGACGTACGCTTAAACTCATCAAGACCTCCGACCAGATTTGGAATTTAGGTAATGCCCACCTGAGAACGCAATCACGCAATCATAGTAGGGTGTCCTTTTTTTTTTTTTTTTTTTTTTTTATCTATGCCTCCTAGATTAACTTTGTTATGGGAAAGGTCATAATGTTTCTCGATCTTATCTTATGACAAACTTTAGGCAGAAAAGTCTGCCTCCTTTTCAAATACTTTAAGAACATGGAACCCGTCTTCTTCACAAGATTACAAGTAAGAGGAATCTTCGGAACATTAAGTCATCTATTTCCTTATGTGCACTTCAGAAACTTGTGTCAGTTTTGTAGCACACATTATGTGTTATAGGATCGATAAAGTCATAAATGACAAATGACATAAACAATATTCAATTTCGTGTCATGACTACGTTGTTTGGTGATCGTGATGAGTTGTATTTTCCTAAAGTAATGACTACTCTCTAAGCTTTAATGAGTATTGGGCCATTGGCAGGCTTTTAATAAATACAATCAAGAAAATAAAGTAAGCAAGCAGAGATGTAAAATAACTGAAGTGCTCAAGAACAAGAAGTCTAGAAGAGTAGTATATTGTAATAATCTCAAACATAATAGCTTGATATACTTTTAGAATCCATCACCTCACAAACTCATGGAGATTCATAGAAATGCAAGGTCTAACAATGATCTAACTTTGCACATCTTTTGAATAAAAACTAATTATTACTTCAGATACAAAGGATCACGATCCTGCTCACCATCATTAAATTTAAGCAGGAAACGGCACACATAGTTGCCATACAAAAATAGGAGATAAGAGTGAATATATTTGAAAGACTAACCTCTTTACTCTAACAAGGATGTCCAGACTGCTTTCTCGGTAGTTAAGTTGATATGAAATCAAGGAGGGCCACGCAGTTGAATTTTCTTTTTTGTTATAGAAGCACAAGACTAACTTCAAGCACTGCGTTATTTTGCACCAACCTGCAATTGCTGCAAATATTACAGTAGAAAAGATAAAGGATTCTCAAGTTATCAGTTGTATGGTGTAAATTACTCTCACGTATATAATAATAAATTATAAGGAGACTATCATATCGAACATGACTTCCTTGTTGACTCCTTAATACTTCCCAAACTCACTTGATAAGTTATTACATTCATATAAGTAGAACACAACCCTTATCTAGACATACCACATGTACAAACCTTTACATATATATTTTCTCACCTCATTTAATAAAAACAACAAAAGGCTCATGTAATACGAAATAAGAAGTTAATTAAGAGTGATGAATAAACTTGGGGAGATTAGTGTTCGTTCATCAAATCTATTTTATAAACATTTAAACCCTTCAATACATTTAAACTAATTGACTTTAGTCACTCACACATTTGAAAATTTAACATACACATTAATCCCTCATCACTTTGGCAAATTATCAATTAGTCATTATCCAAATAGTCATTAATCAAAATTGCCCACATTTTAACTTTATAACTAATGTGTAAATAAAGGAAGAAGGGAAGACAAAATAAATAAGAGAAGCCCAAGCATTCATTTTAGCACCCCAACCAACTCAACACAACAACACCACATAGGCATCAAATGAGCAATAACAACCCGCTGCGATAGAACCAGGGTAGCAGACCGTAGTAAATTCCAGAAGGCATAATTCCTAGCACAAAACTCCAAATCGAGAAATTCTTGAGCCTAGATTGAATAACTTTTCGAGATCTAAAACATTGATGAAGGGACTATGAGCTAAAAACAACTTCAGGTCGATGATTTTTGGACGAACAGAATAGCAGTAACAGGGCAGCACCAGAATAGCAGCGGCAACAGCGTGAAACAACAGCTACCCTCTATAGTCACTCACAACAGCAATATCTAACTTGACAGCATAAATTTTGGCAGCAAACACCATATGCATATAAGCATATTAAAAAGATAAAATATTGGGAGAAAATGAAAAGATATGGAAAAAAATAACAAGTAAGCTGTTCATATTAAAGGTTAGGTGAAAATTGAACCAATTAGAACAAGAAAGAGAAAGGGGAGATAGAATTGTACCTGTAGATCAACAATTCTGTTACAAATCAGACAATAATGTTACTAACAATATATTTGGATGCTCCAACATGAGCTGCATAACTAAGAATTTCAGCGTTTACAAAGAATAGAAGGTCAGTACAGCAACTAACCCTCATTTAGTTTCGTTTCCGCAACTTGAAGCCCTGAAACTGATGATAAAACTGCAAAAGAAAGAAAAGAAGACGCTTACTGTATAGTACGCCAAATTCGCATTAATATTCAACATATACTCTTTTCTTTTTCATAAATTCAGAGCTAGGACTTAGTACATAAGTAAAAGACTACAAATAAAACTATGAAGTCTATAACATACATAAACGTGCAGTATCAATAACATGCTACACTATTATGAAATCAGGGTCGGGAAAATATAGGTTACGCAACTAACAGAGAGACTGCTTTCAAGACT